AGTAAATGAGGTTCAATTTACTTAGTAAAAAAACAAGTTTTATTGTAATATGTTCAATTCGTCAAAATACCCACATTTACCCTGCCGGATAACAAGAAATTACACCACAAATAATGCACAATACGGTATCACTTATTATCCCAGATCGAAATTCCCCTGAAGACTTAAATCAAATGGAAAGCGATTTTTTTTACAAATAATGATGACAAGAAGTAATATCATAAGGAAGATACGAATGACTATGATAATGGAAAAAACTATAATCAGGATAAAACGAATGATGATACTGCTAAAAAAGGTTATTTTTTTATTTTTTAATAATAAAAAAAAAAGGTATTTATTTCACAGGCAAACCATACACTCCGTTTCAGATACGTATAACATATTTAAACTAATCCAACTTCATTATGCATTTATGTGAGTAACCTATAATCAAAACAATTAAACAATATAAATCGTAAAAAATCTTGAATATGATGGGTGGTGCAAAGCGCTACCCATCGAATACCATATATTTAATAAATAAAACTTCATAGTATAAATACATTCATGAAAAACTTAAACAAATCAAATCCGAGGACTAATTCTAACTTTCAACTCTTGACAGTTAGTAATTAACCTAGAAAGAACTTTTAACAGTTCATTCTCATTCACTAACTCAATATTATAGTTTTTATAAACTAAAGTCATTAATAAAAGTACCTGAATCGTTGCTAAACTTTTTCCAGGACAAATACGTTTACCTCCACCAAACGGCATGAAGGCAGATTTATCATAATCATTATTTAAAAATCTATCCGGATAAAAAACTTCAGGATTATCCCAAAACTCAGAATGACTATGCGCACCTTTAACATTTACATGGAAACTAGTACCAGCAGGCCATTTATATCCAGCAAATTCACGCTCCTTAGTGATGTGACGGTGTATAATAGTTACCCCTGGCATCAAACGATGCGTTTCCTTAATTATAGCTTCACAATATTTTAATTTTTTGAGATCGTTTGATGCGTAAAATTTATCAGAAATGTAATCAATTTCTGAAAGCATTTTTTGTTTTACATGAGGATGTTTACAAAGATAGTAGGTCATGAAGCAGAATAAATTTGCAGTCTAAATTATAGTTAACCAGATTTTAATACATAATAAATCAATAAAAGTATTAAATATAAAAAATAATACTCACAGTACCAGATCCACCTATAAAAGCATCTAGTAAATTACCTCTTATCTCTTTATCAGTCATAGGTCTAAACTCCTCATATTCTACAACAGTTTTTGCTGTGATTAAGGAAGTTAACATATCAGTTTTCATTTCTGTATCCTGCATTTCTTCGATTTCTTTTCTTCTCTTTTTAATTATATTCTCCAACTTATCAAACAAGTAATTACGGTTATTTAAATAAGAATTTGATTGGCTTTTGATTATTGGAATGTAATGCCTAATAAAAGGGCCATAGTTCGCAAAAAATAAGAGACTTTCAAGATGTTTCACGAGTGCTTCAGTAAATCTATAACCATCTTCAACTAGTGCATCAGGGTACTCAGATTTGATAATGCTTTGTGTATTATAGTAGGTAGCAATTGAATACGTGCGTTTTCCTGTAACTAACATTGAAGTAACATCATTCGTAAATGGATGAAACCATGCAGAAAAATCTGTTTCTAACGACCAATTATTATTATTATTTTCATTTAAAGAATGTTGCAATCCAAGAGATTGCCAATATCCACTCATTTCTTCATATAATTGATATATATGTGTTATGGATGCGTCAATAAATTTAAGTGATAATGTCTCGTTAAAGTACTGTCTATTATAATGCCAACTTTTAGAATCTCCATTAAAGACGATTCCATTTTTGTAATGTCCAATTTCATCCATGCCTTGAGAATATGGAAGTCTCATGAAATATTCTGAAGGAGCAAAAAGTTTTACAATATAGTCTGGCCGTGTGACAATGATATATCTGCGGTCGAGCAATATTTCAGAGATATCACCATATTTCCGTTGACATTGTTCATAGAATTTATTTATATCGTAGCCAATGTTAAGAAGGTTTCCAATGAATGGTAAAGGAAATGGACCAGGGAGTGGATTTGGACGAGTAAAATATTTGTAATAAAAGTAAAAGATATAGGTAGCGAAGATTAGAATAAATAATTTGACAATGAATTCAATAATATTTTGAAAAATCATCGTTAATTTTGTGTATCTGTACGTTTGATCAAAGATATTTTGTATACATTTACGTTGTTTAGAATCAAAGATTTGTTTATTTTTTATAGCGAATTTTTATAAATAAACATTTTCTTTATCGTTGCATTGGTTAGGGCTTAAAGAAAATAAGCCTGTTGAGAAAGAAAGTGTAATTTATGAAAAAAACTAAATAGGAACAATAGAATAATTAACACAATTAAATAAACTGGTAATTCATGCATCATTATACGTATTACTCACGGATTTCATCGATTATCAGCCCCGATTAATATTTTTCGCCTTATTATTATCACTGGTTTAAACAGGTTTTCAATTCAAGTTGACGGAAGGTCAACAGATCAAAAAGGGGGATATGCCAGAAAAAACTAAATCAGTATACTAATTTCCCCCCCCACTTCACTATCGTGGAGTACTATAAAATTGATTAATAACACAGATACTCCGATATGTGAATAATTAGTAGAACCAATCAGAAGTGGGAGAGAAATTAGTAAACTCAAATTGAACTATTGATGCAGACTTATTTACGTCATTAGTTACGGCTCAATTGCGGTTTATTTTTATAAACAGATTTAGGGTCTTTGCAGTAGAAAAGGCCTAAAT